CGGTAGTAGTCAGTGACAGGAGTAGAGAGGGGAGCAGTGAAGGCCGACTCAGGAGGAGAGGGAAGCACAGACTGAGACAAACGAGGCGGACTAGGACGGGATAGGGCAGTACGAAGGTCAGTGAGAGCGACAGGGGACGAAGGACGAGCACAAGGAGAGCGACGAGAGGGCCAGGCGGGCAAAGGAGGGGGAGACAACTGAGTCGAAGAACGAGGGAGAACAGCTGGGGAGGAGTCAGGGGGAGGAAACGTGGGACCATAGACAGGAGGAGAGGGGGAGGAGGAAGGAGATGGAGAGGGGAGACCGAGGGTCCGAAGACCAGAGACAGGAGGAGGTGGTGGCTGCGGTTGCTGCTCCTGGAGCCGCTGCGACTTCTACTGCTGCTCCTGCGGCTGCTGCTGCTGGTGGTGCTGCTGCTGCTACTGCTGTTGTTGCTCCTCAAGCCGCTGCTGTTGTCGCTGCTCCACCTCCAGCCGCTGCAACTCTCTCTCCTCTCTCTCCAACTCCAACTGCTCCTCAAGATCACGGCGAACACGAGCCTGGTGTCGGGTCGGGTAGGGGTGGGGGGGAGGAGTAGTGTCCGGGGCCGCGGCAGCCCCAAGAGCACCCTCCAAAGCACCCGGCCCACCACCCCCAGAGGCAGTACCACCAACAGCAACACGGCCCAGGCTCACAAGGACCCGAAGGGGGCGCACCCGCACCCCCAGACGTAGCACCCCCAGAGTCAGCACCACCTACACCAGCTCTCAGAAGACGAGAGTCTCCTTCAGCTTCGGGCTCAGCCCCAACTGCAGCACCCCCAGAGCTAGCACCGACGGGGTCCTCGCCACGAACACCAGCTCCCACAGGTTTTGCCGCAGGCTGTGAGGAGGACTGCGGGGAAGGAGGTTGTACCTGAGGGGCTACCGAGGGGGGAGGAGTAGCGCGGGACACACCTGACGGGGCTGGACCAAGGGGGGGAGGCTGTACCAGGGGAGCAGGAGGGGGAGCGAAAGTTAGGAAGAGAGGGGGAGGAGGAACCGGGAGACCTCGGCAGGGGTACCTGACGTAGTAGGGGACGGACTCGTCGAAACTGACGTCCCGGAAGTCAAAGAACCGGTGAAGGGGAGGGTGGTAAAAGGTGAAGTTAGAGGAGTCCTCTGGGAAACCAAGACACAAGGAACGGCGCGAGGCGAGATCTTGTTCGCGGAGGTGTCGCAAACAAGAGCCAAGCAACCCCACACACGAAACCGCGACGCAACACCAGGGGACCCAGTCCAAACACTAGTCAGTGAAACCTCTGGCCGAGAGACACGTGGCCAGAGGTTCAGCTGGTGAGCGGCATACCTAACCGCGTAGGGCCATAGAAAATGGGGGGCACAGGCGTGAGTCAAGGAGGTGCGGGCGATCTCCATAACCAAGCCTATGCGGCGCTCAGCAACCCCATTCTGCTGTTGGGAATCTGGAAGCGTCCAGGACTGACGAATGCCCTGCTCGCGACAGAATCCAGCGAGAATGCCGGAGCAAAACTCACCCCCACGGTTGGAGTGAAGACAGTTGACTCCACGATCACGAGTGCCCTCAGTGGTAAGCAACCACCTGATCAGCGTAGAAGTAACGTCAGACTTCTTCGCAAGGGGGAACACTGTGGTGCAGCGGGAGTAGTCGTCAACGACCACCAGAACGAAACGCTCACGCTCAGGGCCAATTCGAGAGGCGGGGCCCCAAACGTCCAAGTGGAACGTCTCAAAAGGCTCGGTGGCCGGACGAAGGGAGGAGGAATGAGGGGTGGTGCGCAGCCTACCCTCGACGCAGGGACCGCACGGTGGTGCAAGCCAGGGCAGCAGCGACGGCAAGACACGTGGGAGGCCTAAGACAAGACGCTGACGAGACATAGTGCGCAGACAAGGGAGAGACGGGTGCCCCATCCGGTGGTGCCACAGAACGGTGGGGTGGGCAAGTGACCGGCAGGAGCACGACGCAGCAATTGGACAAGACATGGGAACCTGACCAGACACAGCTACCTGGGGGGACGCAGCAACTTGGTGAGACGCAGGGACCGGACTGGGGGAAGGAACAGGGGCTGGGGGTAGTAGTCGCTGCTGCTGCTGCTGATGCTGCGACTGTTGCTGCTGCTGCCCACCAGAGGTAGTGTGAAGTGTGTAGAGACCAGAGCCCGGCTCAGCTGTAAAGGTGGCAAGAGGCGTGTAAGTGTCTCCGTCCACACAAACCGCCGTCTCACCAGAGGGCTCAATCCACACACCCACGTGCTGACTCACAAGAGGCCTCACACCCACCAAGTTCCGCGAGAACGAGGGGACGTGGAAGCCAGTCAGAGACCCAGAGGGAACAGCAGGGCACGGAAGAGTAGTAGTGTAGCGAGTAGTGACTGGTCCCGAGGTGGGATCAGCCAGAGCCACAAAGACTGTCGTCGGAAGCGAAGTAAGTGTCTTGTGGTCCCGGAAGAAGCAGTGCAAAGCCCTTGAGTCCAGAGTGAAAGACAGCGAAGCGTCCTCCGAAATAGCTTCTGGACTTGTGTCTACACAAGTGCCTACACTAGCAATAGGCAACTCAGCAAGACTATCTCCTAAGCTTACAACACTCGAGTAAACAGAGTCAGAAGCACTAGAGTCAACAACAGCATACATTGCATGAGGAGTTCCTAAGTGATCAACCAACTGATAAGCTGAAATGCCCCAAGAGCGGAGCCGTACTTCTGAACAAGAGGAAACCAGTCAGGGGCAGGAGCAGGGCAGGAAACCAAGCGAACTGTGTCAGTGAGCTGAGCAAAGCACTGACCAGGAGGGTGGGTGCGGCCACAAGGCTGGCCTCGGCGAGCACCTGTCAAAAGCTGATAGGTGCACGAAGGGTGAACAACACCTCGCTGAGGCTGACGTTGTCCTGGCCCCGAAACCTGCTGCTGCCGCTGTTGCTGAGGGGGTTGCTGCAAGGGGAGGGGCTACTGCTGCTGCTACTGCTAGGCCAGGTACCACGCCGCTGCTCCACCCGCCGCGGCCAGCAGACCAGAAGGTGGCTGACGAGCCCGGGCGTCGCCTCCACTAGCTGCAGTAGCGGAGTCACCGGCCGCTGCACGGGACGCCTCTCCTGGCCCTGCACTCCCGCCGCCACCAGTCGGCACGCCACCCCCACCACCTCCGCCGCCAACGCCTCCACCGCTGCCGCCACCTGTATCATGACCGCCCCTCTTGCCACCTCTACCTTGAGCGGTCTATCGTCAGCGTCGAACCGAAGAACCCTAGGGGTCGCCATAGTGTAAGTAGAAGCGACAAGCCGGGCGGTGGGTGGCACTGGTAGGGACGGTAGGCGGCTAGGGCAAGTCCGTGACGTGCGCAAAACGCGGGCGCAACGGGGCTAGGGGCGGTCCCCCGGCGGACTGAACAAGTAGGCGCAGCTGTGCGAAGGAGGGCTTACGGCGGCAGTAAGGGAGGGCCCGCGGCAGGCCTAACTAGCAGGCGCGGCGGCTGGAAGGCAGGGCCCGCGGCGGCTGTAAGGGAGGGCCCGCGGCGGGCCTAACTAGCAAGCGCGGCGGCTGTAAGGGAGGGCCCGCGGCGGCTGTAAGGGAGGACCCGCGGCGGGCCCAACTAGTAGGCGCGGCGACGGGATGAGCGGGCCCGCGGCCGGGCCTAACGAGCGGGCGGTACGGGCAGGCGCGGCGACGAAATGCGGGGCGCCGTGGCGACGAAATGCGGGGCGCCGCGGCGACGAAATGCGGAGCGTCGTGGCGACGAAACGCGGGGCGCCGCTGCGACGGAATACGGGGCACCGCGACGACGAAATACGGGGCGCTGCGGCGACGACGAGCGGGCGTTTAGGGCAGCGTGGGGAGGACGCGACGCGACGGGCAGGGTGGGAGGGCACGTCGCGACGAGCAGCGGGGGAGGGCGCGACGGGACGGGAAGCCGGGGAGAGCGCGACGCGACAGGCAGGGGGGGGGGGGGGGAAGGCGCTACGCTATGCGGAAAGCGGGTCGGCAGAGCGAGCGCTAACGAACGAGCGAGACTGGATCGGGCCGGCGCTAACGAACAAGCGAGACTGGATCGGACCGGTGCTAACGAACGAGCGAGACTGGATCGGGCCGGCGTTAGGCTCGGGCAAGACGGGTATGAATAGTACAAGAGAGCGAGACAGGCTCGGGCGGAACGAACGAGGACGAGAGGTGCGGGATCCCACAGGATCCTAACCTAGGTGATACCATGTCAAGAATGAAAGTGTTGTGTTATTGATGAGGGTTGGGTACATGTAGCAAACCGTAACATTTGTACCCCCTAAGACAAACCTTACTACAGGCTACAACATTTGACAGCGGTTGACAGGCTAACACGACGTTGTTAGCGTTCCTGCATACTTCAACACCTCGCAACGACAAGCCACGTATTACTACATTAAGCACCTAAGTCGATACATGACACAATCAAACTAAGTTAAAAAATGGCGTGTCTAGGACAAAAGCGACCATGATTTCAGCTAGACTATGGGTAAGAAAAGTGAGTTGTGAACCCCCTTCCAGCTTGAAATTGCAGTTGGGCCAAGCGACCAAAACTATCACTTTGCTTGCAATGCAACCGTCGTGAGGGTGCAGCACGTAGACGTGCGATAGTTGACATGAGCTCCAAAATTCATTTGGCGGGAGCCAGCGGAATTCTCATCTTGGCCATAGCCAATCAGAACATTTCGGTCTGAACATTTCAGTTGTTTGAATCAGTGTTGTTTCGACCCGATCCCTTGAGCATTTCGCAAGACCATTTCGAGCTGGGACAGGGGTCACTACTATTTTAGCTGCTGGCTTTAATGCCCAATCTGTGTTGAAAGGTCCACTGTCTTGCAACACGCTTTTGCTCGTCACATCACTCGCAAAAGAAACATCTCACAAATATTTGGAACAGCCAGGGAAGGCAGGAGACCAAGGCCTGAGGGTGGGGAGGGAGGGGGATGAGCAATATGTACAAATGAGCAGTGCCTTGCCCATGCTGTCTCCTGCTAGGCATGAGGCATGTGCCACCTCACAGCTGCCCGCGTGTCAGTGCCAGTGCGCCCTGCACATCGATCCGCCGCCTCTTCGCCATCAGCTCCGCCTTTCTTGCCAAGTCTGCCTTCTTCTCCCCGCTTCTGCTTCTACTGCTGCTGCCGCCGCTGCTCCTGTGTGCCACAATAACTTGCTGCTTGCTCTCTGGCTTATGCCGCTTATGTGACGAGCTGCCAGTGGCAGCAGGGGTGGCGGAGGGAGCAGCAGGGGGGCTGAAGATGGAGGCACTGCGAATGGCAGCTCTCTTCTCCGCGCGGTTGTGGTCAAAGCGGCGTCCAAAGGGCGCTGCTGCAGCTGCTGCACTGTCCGCCTGTGAAGGCGGCAGCAGCCGGATTGCCAGCCCTCTGCTGCGCGCCTCTGCCTCCTCCTCTGCCACCCGCTTCTTGCGCTCCTGATGGCCACAGAACCAGATTGGCGAGACATGGAATGTGAGGGCGAGGTGTGAGTGATAACTCATGAGAGTCAGTGGAGGATAGGGAGCTGCAGAGGTGTGGGAAACGCCAGATGGCACACGGAACAATGCTTGACGGAACAATGCTTGACGGACATCCATTCAACCATGTAACATACTAGGGGTTACAATTGATTCTTGACTCTTCACCAACATCCCCCCCCCCCCCCACTTCCCTGCCCCCAAAGTCCCCCACTCCAACCCCTTCCCCAACCCCTACCCATCCTGTCCCCAGCGCTCCCCTGGGTGCATACCCGGAGGTGGGAGCGCAGCACACGGTTGAGGCGGAAGGGGTCCGCATGCTTGGTGTCCGCAGCAGCCTTCACGGCCGCTAGAGTGGGTGCCGCTGCTGCTGCCCTCTTGCGGTCACGGCCCCCATGCTCCAATCGCACCAGCGGATCCAACAGCTGCTCCCGCTCTGGACGGTCCAGGCAACGAGGACGATGGGAGCGAGAGAGAAGGCGAGATGGAGAGGGAAATAAGGGGAGAGAGGGCGATAGGGGGAGAGAGGGCAATAGGGGGAGAGAGGGCGATAGGGGGAGAGAGAGGGAGAGGCGGAAATAAAGGGAGAGAAAGGAAGAGGGGGGGGGGGAGAGGGAGAGAGAGGAAGAACAACGGATAGCGAGATGGAGAGGGGGAGAGGAAAGGAGGGAGGGAGAGGGAGGGAGAGGGAGGGAGAGGGAGGGAGAGGAAGGGAGAGGGAGGGAGAGGGAGAGAGAGGAAAAGGAAGGGAGGGAGAGGGAGGGAGAGGGAGGGAGAGGGAGGGAGAGGGAGGAAGAGGGAGAGAGAGGAAAAGGAAGGGAGGGATGTGAATGCTGAGGTTGAAATGGTAGACGGGGGTTGAGCGACAACAGAAAAAAAAAATATGGGGGCCAGTAAAAAAGGATGGAGGGTGGCCGTAATGAAGTGGCGAGGCAGAGAGTAGGGGTTAAGTGGTGTGGACAAGGCAGCAGAGATGGTGCAAGTGCCCAATCTCACCCCCCCAACCCTCTACCACCCAACCCCCCACCGCACCCACCCCCCCTCAACCCACCACCCCCACCCCACCCCACTACCCCCACCCCCCACCCCACCCCCGGCGAAGCACCCGTCGTACCCTCTTTGGAGGGCAGCTCCACGGTGCCGGCATCCTCGGCATCGTACTCCACCGCCTTGCGCTCCGCTCCACTCACCTGCACCCCCGCTCACACACGTCAGTGCGCATGGGCAGGGCGGGAGGGAAGAGGGGAGGGAGGCGGGGGCGGGGGGGAGGGGGGGGGGGGGTTGGGAGGGGGTGTAAGAAGCAGGAGGTTGGGAAGCGCAAGAGAGTGTGTGTGTTAGCACGCGTGTAAGGGCGAGACATAGAGAAGGAGAAAGGAGAGACAGAAAAACGGGAGTGGGAAGGAGGGGTCAGCAGAAGGTGGAGCACGGGGGTTGGATGGATGGAAAGAAACCACAAGGGATACCATTAAGCAGGCAAGTAAGGAGCACACGAGACAGGCGATGCTTGGAGGCAAGACGGGTGTGGGACGGGAAGGGAAGGGAAGGGCTGCGGGAGGTGGGGCAGGTTGGATTAGATTGGATATAGCAAACCACAAGGAAAGGCATCAAGGAGGTAAGGTAAGGTAAGCACGGAGCACAGGAGATAGATAGGGAGGGCAGCAGGAGGGCAGAGGGGATCACTGACGACTCGGTAGTCGCAGCTCTTGGGGTCGGTGTGGATCTCTATCTCGTGCTGGCAGCACGCTGAGCGCATCTTGAAACTCCATATCTGCACCACACAGGGCGGCACGGGCAGGGCAGGCAACGCACGGCAGGGCGAGGTGGGAAGCTGATGGGCAGGCCGCAGTGGGATGGGAACGAACATGGTCTGGCAGGCAGGGCGCGCAGCGCAGCTGGTACAGCGCGCAAGCAAGAAAAAGGCCATGGGGGAGCATGAGTGTTGGGTAGGGAGCGAGCGGGAGAAGTGCGGGATGAAAGGAAGAGCAGGGCACCTTGGTGGAGAGGTAGTTGGCGATGTGCTTCTTCTCGGCGTTGAAGCGCACGCCCTTGGCGATCATGGCCTTGCACCCGCCACACCACACGTGGAACGGCATCTCAAACCTGCCCGCCTCGCCCGCACGTGGTGGTGGCGCCACGGGACAGGGGGTGGGGCATTGGCGCGAGATGACGGAAAAAAACAAAAGACAAATAAATAAACAAACAAACAATCACGAGAGGGTGGCGGGCGGCCATGTGGCCTTCGAAATGGGGAGAGAGTGAGAGCAGCGAGCACTGAAGGGGCATTGAAGAAGAGAACCGTAAAAACGAGATGGCGGCACACAAGGGAGATGTTGGAGGCGGGGGGAGAAGGGGGGGGAGGGGAGGGGTGAAGAGAGGTTGGATGGGATGGGGTGAGTTGCGGGTGAGGTGCGCACCTGATGATGAGAATGCCATCGCCCAGCTTCTTGGCTCGTTCTCTCAGCGGGTGCTGTCCCTGGAACTTGTTCAGCGAGCCCTGCCACACCACCGCGCCATGCCACGCCATGCCATGCCACATCACGCCACGTCATGCCACAGCATGGCAACATGCGCCGGGGGGAACACACGGTGAGACAGTGACGGCGAGGGCTGCCCGCGCGCGCATGGCGGAGCCGATCGTTGCACCGTCTCCTTCCGCGCGCGCGCGCAAGGGAGGGAACGGGGAGCAGGGAGGATGCGAGGCGAGAAACGAACGCGACGAATGGAATGGAGTGGAGGAAGAAACGGGTGGGGAAAGAAGGGGGAACACACGGAAAGTGTAGAGATCGGAGATGGATGGAGTGGACGAAGCAGAAGGTTCCGGGAGCGTGAGTGCATGGTAAGACGCCGAGAATAATGTAGAAGACACGGCGGTGGAACGTGAAAAGGCTCTCAAGAGAAGGAACGCGAGCAATCGCGGGAGCAGCGGCGGGAGCACGGCGCGCGTACCTGCTCCGGCGTCCATTCCGGCGGGTAGTAGAAGTTGTCGGCTCGCGCGGCTGCTAGCGTCGACTGCAGCAGCGAGCGGGGAGGGCGGAAAAGAAAAAGGTGAACGGGTTAACGTTGAATAATCCCTGTGGAAACCCGCGCACTTTCTAAAAACGAGTCGAGTTGAACCGCGAGGCGAGAGCGTACCATGATGAATGTTGAAAGTGACGACTAATTGACTGCACGCAGGCCTCCTACGGGAATGTCTTGGTGAGTACAAACAAGAATGACAGAGAAACCCTAAAATATGTTGCTGCGACGGAGCTTCCGTCCGTATTTCTTAGGGAAAATTTTTGGGCTGTCACAAAAAAGGCCGTTTTATCGCGTTTGGTCACATGGGTATCACTATTACGAGTGCAATTGAGTGAACGAGCTAGAATTGCACTATCGAAGCGAAGGCATGAACGAAGAATATATAGCGAAACTACAGTGGTAACGGTAATGTACTGTGGTAGTCGCGCGACGGGCCTGGAACTGAGGTTTGGGGAAAATGTCGAAGCGGAGGTTCGGAGCGCGGGTTACCCGCCGAACCGTGAGGTCCGGGTGCGACGTGCGAAGCTGGCGGGAGGATTGTCGATGTGAGTGTTGCGAGTGGTAACGGTGCTGACTGTGGTGCTACAGTGGTGTACGCGCTGAATGGGGACGCGAAGTAAGGAAAAGGAATTTTCCTTACACTTACCCCCCCCTAAGGAGGTCCTCCTTACGAAAGCGCTTGTACGTCCCTGAAGTTTCGGCTGCACAGATACCCTGTGAGGTCGGGGTGGTTTTCGACTCTGTCCAGGGGAACCTAGTTGTCTTCGATGGGTGTACGGTCTTTCCAACGGATCAGGAACTCGATCCTTCGGGCTCCTCGAGGGTCAAGAACTCTGTGGCTCAGAATTTTCTCGGGTGTGATAATTGGTTCAGTCGGCGGTCGTGTCATACTGGCTAGGCGATTACGTGGTAGTTGGCTTGTGGACGGTATGTAGGGGCGAAGTAGGCTGGCGTGGAATGATGGGCTGACGTACCAGCCAGCGGGGAGGAGGAGATGGGCGGTGACGGACGTAATCATGAGGCTTATGCGAAATGGCCCGCAATATCGGGGGCGGAGTTTTGGGGTGATGGGCAGGCGGAGGTTCTGAGTATCGAGGAAAACTAGGTCGTCAGGTTGGTAAGTGACAGGTCGGCGGTGGCGGTCGGCGTTACGTTTAGCGATGATGTTCGATTTTTTTATTGCGTCTGCTGCCCGGGTCCGTGCTGCTTGTAGCAGCGCCACACTTTGAACGCGTGCACGATCGCAAGCATTTCGCGGTCGTGTTTCGGGTAATTTTTCTCGGGCGGATGCAGTTTTCGTGACTCGTATGCGATGGGCTGGATGTCAGAATGTTCTTATCTAGCCTGTAGTGGGGTGCTCTATAGCGAGTACAACCCTGTTAGGGTTTGCTATTTGTATCCCCATTCTTGCTAGTCAAACACTCTTTTCTTTCTTCTAATTTTGTCATGCTATCAGAGCAGGTCGATCCCCTTGGATCGATCCTGTGGGTGGGTTACCACCACCTCGTTGCTTCCGCTGCAACTTCTACTGCTACTTTCTGTGCCGCACGCCCCGTGGCGTGCGGCAGTTTTTCTTCCCGCCGTGCGCCCCGAGGCGCGCGGCGGTTTTCTGCCCGCCGTGCGCCCCGAGGCGCGCGGCGGTTCTCTGCCCGCTGTGCGCCCCGAGGCGTGCGGCGGGCTTCTGCCTCGTCGCTCGGCGCCTCGCCCTCGGGAGGCGCTGCGACGGGCGACGGGGACCCGCGCGCCGGCCCGTCGACGCCCGTGCGCCGCTGCCCCGGCTCGTCGACGCCCGTGCGCCGCTGCCCCGGCCCGTCGCCGCCCGTGCGCCGCCCGTCCCGGCCCCGCGCAGCTGCTCCGGCCCGTCGCCGCCCGTGCGCCGCTGTCCCGGCCCCACACCGCCCGTGCGCCGCCAGTCCCGGCCCCGGCCCCGCCTGCGCCCCCCCCCCCCCCCCCCCCCCCCCCCCCCTTTTCCCGTCGACTGTCGAGGCGACCCTCGGGGGCCGCTTGCGGGGGGAGGGGGGCGAGCGCCGCCCCCCCCTTCTGCTTCCTGTCTTGGCGCCCTGGGCGGCCGCGCGTCGGTTCCCCCCCCCCCCCCCCCCCCCCCTCCCCCTCCCCCGTAACCTCCCTACCCGCCATCCCGCCCTGCCTGAGTTAGGGTTTGGGGAGTGGCGAGTAGGGGGTGGCGAGTATGGGGGTGGCGGGTGTGTGGTCTCCCCTGCTCCTCCTCCTCCTCTGTCTCCCACTGCTGCAGCTGCCGCTGAGGGGGGTGGGTGTGTGGGAGTCGCTGGAGTCGTGCTAGGGGGTGGGGTGTGAGTGACCCTAGGGGTGCAGTAGAGGGTGTGTGCAAGGGGGGGTGAGACTGTTTGGGGAGCTGAATGAAGGATGCCGCTGTGTCGCTAGCAGCACCTGTAGTCCGGGGGCTTCGTCCGGTAGCTCAGTCGTAGCCAGCTGTGCCAGCCGCCCGTGGGTCCGTTGCTCGTCTGCCGCTACTTTAGCCGCGGGGCCAGTTACCCCTGTAGTCCGGGGGCTTCGTCCGGTAGCCGCTGTGCCAGTCTGCCTCCTGTTGCCCGTGTGTCTGCAGCTTCATCCGTCGCCTCCTATCTCCTTTCCTCTCACTCTCGCCCCCTCCTCCTCACTTGCCCTCTGCGATAGCCTCTAGCTTTGCTCATAATTCTTAACTTTAAACTATTGCTTCTTGAACTTGTGCTCAGAATGTGTGGTGACATTGTGATCCACCCTGAGCTTGTACTGCTTTGCTTGCTCTGCTGATTACACCCCACTTTGGCTATGGGGGTGTGTCAGAATGTTATCTTATGCTCTAGCCTGTAGTGGGGTGCTCTTTAGCGAGTACAACCCTGTTAGGGTTTGCTATTTTTATCCCCATTCTTGCTAGTCAAACACTCTTTTCTTTCTTCTAATTTTGTCACTGGAGGCCGTTGCCGAAGTCCTGTAGCAGTACGGCTCCGATGGCGATGTCGCTTGCGTCGGTAACTACTTCGAATGGGTAGTGTGGGTCGGCGATGCGCAGGACGGGCGGTGAACAGAGAACATTTTTCAGTGCAGAGAAGGCAGCATGCTCTTTCTCCCCCCATGTAAAAGCGACCCCCTTCCGTAACAAGTCCCTTAGCGGCGCTGTTAACCGTGCCATGTCGGGAACAAACCGACGCACGTAATTGACGAACCCCAAAAAGCTCTATAGTTCCGTGATATTCGTCGGGGGGTGCCAGGCTTTCACCGTGTCTAACTTCTTTGGGTGAATTTCGACCCCAGCCTCTGGAATAACGTGCCCCAAAAACTCTAGCCGGTCCTGAAAGAACTCGCACTTGGAACCCTTTGTCAGTAACCGATGTACGTCTAAATTTTTAAAGACTGCTTCCAGTTCTTCGAAGTGCTGCTTCTTGTCGCGACTGTAGACGAGGATGTTGTGAAAGTTTTAGTAGAAAGGAGAGAGGATTGCACTAGCAAGAATGAGGATACAAATAGCAAACCCTAGAAGGGTTGTACTCGCTATAGAGCACCCCACTACAGGCTAGAGCATAACATTCTGACAGATGTCGTCGAGGTAAACTATCACGCATTTATCTAAAAGTGGCCTAAACGCCTCGTTCATGGTCATCTGAAATGTCGCTGGTGCGTTGGTCAGCCCGAAGGGCATCACGGTGTACTCGAACGACCCGTACCTCTTTTGGCGCAGTCCGATGGTTCGACCCTAATCTGATGGTAACCTCCCCGTAAATCTATTTTCGAAAAAAACCCGTTCTGTTCGCAATTGGTCGATCAGTTCGTCGGCTCGAGGAATGGGGTACCGCGACTTGACTGTTACCCTGTTGAGCGCTCGGTAATCGATGCACATGCGAAACCCTCCGTCCTTTTTTGGCGTGAACAGTATCAGTGCGGCGAACGGTGACGAGCTCGGTCGGATGAATTTCTTCTCTAATAAGTAATCTAACTGCTTCCTCAGTTCGTCGAGCTTGGGTTGTGTCAGTCTGAACTGGCGCTGTACAATTGGTTATGCCCCCGGTTCTAATTCTATTCGGTGGTCATGTGCTCGCTGAGGTGGCAATCCTTCCGGTAAGTCGGGAAAAATCCCAGGGTATCGTTTCAACAGTTCCTGTAGTTTGGGCGGTACCGCTGTCAGCAGTTTCTTGAAACCACTCGGCTGCTCTGCTCCCTCTACCACTGAAATGTCTACTGCGTACACGTCAGCTCCAGCAGCGACATCCCGTTTCATGGTGACGGCGTTGACGTGTACCGTTGAAGACTCGGGCGACTGCCAGCGAGGTAGCTCAACCCAGTTACCGCTACTTCGCACAGTGCAGCTACCCGTCGTCCAGTCAATTCGCGGGTAATACCGTCGCAACCAATCAAGTCCCAGTAAAATGTCGTGCCCATCGAGTGTCGTCGCGAGCATTTCCTGTGTAAATCCGAAATTTCCCCCGAACACAGACTGGAGCACAGAACGAAGCACATTTCTCGTCGCGGCCCTACCCCGCCCTACAGCAGCGGCCGTCGCGGACTGCCCCGCCCTGCAGCAGCTGCCGTCGCGGACTGCCCCGCCCTGCAGCAGCTGCCGTCGCGGCCCTGTCCCCGCCCTGCACCAGCTGCCGCCGCGGCTCGGCCCCGCCCTGCACCAACTGCTGCGGAGCTCCCTGGCGCGGTCGCGGCCCCGCCCTACCACTGTAGCGGCCCCGCCGTCGCCACCGTCGTGCGCCTGCCCTTCCCTCCACTGATGAGCACTGCCCTGCCCGCGCTGCTACCGTTACTACTGCCGCTACTGTTGTTACTGCTGTTACTGCTGCTACTGCTGCTCCTAGCGTGGCCAAATGCAGCTCCAGGGCCGTCCGCGTGAGTCTTTCACGCCCCAGCAGCTTCGTGAGTGGTACGCTAGTTGGGGTTGTCGGGGTGGCTGTAGTGGGAGTCGCCCTGGAGTGGGTAGTTTGGGAG